ATATTGAAATCAGACTAAAACTGTAGGAGGAGTAGCATTTTGAAAGAATTTCACAGAAATTTCTATTTTTAGTAACCACGGCAACAATCAAAAACCGATACACAGAATTATGTATCTTAGTGTAGTCTACTTGTGTGCCAAGTTATATTGAAATCAGACCAAAACTGTAGGAGGAGTAGCATTTTGAAAAATTGTTTACAGACAGACAGACCAGTCAGTGACAGACTAGACAGACGGACGTACGACGGAGGCATTACTATCGCATAAGCTCTTCTGGTCTCTGACCAGTAGAGCTAAAGACCGATGCACAGAATTATGTATCTTAGTGTAGTCTACTTGTGTGCCAAGTTATACTGAAATCGGACCAAATCTGTAGGAGGAGTAGCATTTTGAAAGAATTTCAAAGAAATTTCTATTTTTAGTAACCACGGCAACACCGTTCATCGAAATCAAAAACCGATGCACAGAATTATGTATTTTAGTGTAGTCTGCTTGTGTGCCAAGTAATATTTAAATTGGACCAAAACTGTAGGAGGAGTAGCATTTTGAAAGAATTTCACAGAAATTTCTATTTTTAGTATCCACGGCAACACCGTTCATCGAAATCAAAAACCGATGCACAGAATAATGTATCTTAGTGTAGTCTACTTTTGTGCCAGGTTATATTGAAATGAGACCAAAACTGTAGGAGGAGTAGCATTTTGAAAGAATTTCACAGAAATTTCTATTTTTAGTAACCACGGCAACACCGTTCATCCAAATCAAAAACCGATGCACAAAATTATGAATCTTAGTGTAGTCTACTTGTGTGCCAAGTTATATTGAAATCGGACCAAAACTGTAGGAGGAGTAGCATTTTGAAAAATTCTTCACAGACAGACAGACAGACGGACGGACGACGGACGCATTACTATCGCATAAGCTCTTCTGGTCTCTGACCAGTAGAGCTAAAAATACCATCGCGAACATTTAGGAATCGTGTAAGTCGTGTTTTGTAGATCCGATATCTTGTCATGCAAGTGATGTAGTTTAAGTCGTCCACTAAATTCGCTAAACATTGCATCCAATATTTAACGCGAGATGTGATTGGTCAATGGTGCTTTTTTAGAACAGATCTGACCAATCACACTTCGTCTTTTACCAATCATGGGTTTTTCCAAAATGTCGTCTGTTCTGGGCTCGAGCCTCTCTGTGATCAAAAAACTACCGTAGTTATTCAAATCGGAGATGTTATACCTTTTAATTGTAATTAACAGAAGAAAAAGATGATTTTCGTGAACGCTGGATCTTTACTTTGTGTTTTCCATCTCCGGAAGGACTTCAAAACTGGAGAAAATGTGCGAATTTTGCCTCGTTTTAGTGGACGACTCGCACAACGGGATATCAAGTTAGTAATACCCAACTTAAACGCTATAAAAAGTAACGAGGTTTCTGTTTTATTAAAGAATATTTATTGTAGTATGATTTCTAGTGATAATTTAATTGGCTACATTCTTTTTTCTATGAAATACGAAATATTTCCGAGATCGACCCTGTGTAAATTCGGACTGACGTTGTTTCCCTTTCCTTTTTAGCTCACCTGAGCTGAAAGCTCAAGTGAGCTTTTCTGATCACATTTTGTCCGGCGTCCGTCTGTCTGTCCGTCTGTCTGTCTGTAAACTTTTCACATTTTCGACTTCTCAAGAAACGCTGGGCCAATTTCAACCAAACTTGCCACAAAGTATCCTTGGGTGAAGGGGATTCAAGTTTGTTCAAATGAAGGGCCACGCCCTCATTCAAGGGGAGATACATGTAATTGGGAATTAATGAAAATTTGGTGGCATATTTTAAAAATCTTCTTCTCAAGAAGCACTATGCCAGGAAAGATGAAACTTATGGGGAAACATCCTCAGGTAGTGTAGATTCAAGTTTGTTCAAATCATGACCCCCGGGGGTAGGGCGAGGCCAAAATGGCCGACCAAAGTTTTACATAGAAATATATAGGAAAATTCTTTAAAAATCTTCTTCTCAAGAATGACAAATCCATAATTCATCATATTTATATGGAAGCATGCTCAGGTAGTGTAGATTCAAGTTTGTTCAAATCATGACCCCCGGGGGTAGGGCGGGGCCAAAATGGCCGACCAAAGTTTTACATAGAAATATATAGGAAAATTCTTTAAAAATCTTCTTCTCAAGAATGACAAAACCATAATATATCATATTTATATGGAAGCATGCTCAGGTAGTGTAGATTCAAGTTTGTTCAAATCATGACCCCCGGGGGTAGGGCGGGGCCAAAATGGCCGACCAAAGTTTTTAAAAATATATATAAGAAAATTCTTTAAAAAATCATTTTCTAAAAAATAGCAAATCCATGATTGGTCATGGGACTACTTTTGGATTTAAACTTTACAATAAAAAGCCATTTTCTACTTTTTCCTACCCTTAGTGCTCAGGTGAGCGATGTGGCTCATGGGCCTCTTGTTTGTATATATATTAGTGATTACGTAAATCAAAAACAGTATGTTATTGGCCCCTGTGGTATGTTATTACATATTTAACTGCACAAGTGTTTAATATTTGTGGTTATTAATAGATCATTTGATTACTGGCGAAACAGAAATATTCCGTTATAATTATGTAAGGTTTATATAAGGCTAACACTTTTGCAATTGATAAATTCATTATTATGCACACGTTGTTATTTTGCAAATTGGAGAACTGTCAAACATCGGTGCAAATGTTCACAAAGAACTGCAGGTTGCTATGGAGGGTCGTTCTGCACTCTTGACCCTCAAGAGAGAGAGGAAGGAAGAAGCTTCCGTAATTTTAGATGGCACGTATAACGTTTACATATAGGGCTGTAAAGGCAGCGAATGGATTTCGTGGCCAGCGGTTGACGAGGAACTGATCATAATGACGGACCACAAGAGGATTGAAATTTTCCAAGAAAACACCTTAAAAGAGGGCAGAGTTGTCCAGGGCACCAAGAGAAAGGGAGAAGATCATAACAATGAAAGAATATTTTCAAGATTATATATATTCAGAATGCTATGTTCAACCCCACATTTTGGAGGATGGCGAGAGTAGAAGTATTGCAAGCAAATTTTCCTCTACTGGGTGGACTCTGAAGTATTTTGCTCCTGCCCTCCTAGTTGGAGAAATGGTATCAGTCAGCACCTTCAACCCGAAAATTCTTTGAAACTTAAAAGGGAAAAGTACAAAAAAATTATCAAGGTCCAAGTATCCGGCAAATACGGAGTGGAAATTAAGAATGACTCGATTGTAAGAATTCTTTTTTTTAACCATTTTTATATTTTAGCTCACCTGAGCCGAAGGCTCAAGTGAGCTTTTCTGATCACATTATGTCCGTCCGTCCGTCTGTCGGTCCGTCTGTAAACTTTTCACATTTTCGACTTCTTTAAAGAACCACTGGGCCAATTTTGACCAGACTTGGTACAAAGCATCCTTGGGTAATGGGGACTTAAAATTGTAAAAATGAAGGGCCAAATCCCCTCAAAAGGGGAGGTAATCAAGATTTTAAAAAAATAGGGTGGAGTCATTAAAAAATCTTCTCAAGAACCACTGGGCTAGAAAAGATGAAACTTATGTAGAAGCATCCTGGGGTAGTGTAGATTCTAAATTGTTCAAATCATGACCCCCGGGGGTAGGGCGGGGCCACAATGAGGAATCAAAGTTTTACATAGAAATATATAGGAAAAATCTTAGAAAATCTTCTTCTCGTGAACCAATGGGCAAGAAAAGTTGAAACTTATGTGGAAGCATTCTGGGATAGTGTAGATTCTAAATTGTTCAAATCATGACCCCTGGGTGTTGGGCGGGGCCACAATGGGGAATCAAAGTTTTGCATAGAAATATATAGGAAAAATCTTTGAAAATCTACTTCTCAAGAACCACTGGGCCAGAAAAGCTTAAACTTATGTGGAAGCATCCTGTGGCAGTGTAGATTATAAATAGTCCAAATCATGACCCCCGGGGGTAGGGCAAGGCCTCAATGGGGTATCAGAGTTTTACATAGAAATATATAGGAAAAATCTTCTTCTCGAGAACCACTGGGCCAGAAAAGCTGAAAATTATGTGAAAGCATCCAGGGGTAGTGCAGATTCTAAATTGTTCAAATCATGACCCCCGGGGATAGGACGGGGCAGGGGGGATCAAAGTTTAACATAGAAATATATAGGAAAAATATATAGGAAAAATCTTTAAAAATCTTCTACTCAAGAACCACTGGGCTAGAAAAGCTGAAACTTATGTGGAAGCATCCTGGGGTAGTGTAGATTTCAAATTGTCTAAATCATGATCAGTGGAGTAGGGTGGGGTCACAATATGTATTACAAGGGAGAAATCTTGTAAAGAACAGAATGTTTAAAGCTTCTCAGGTGAGCGATGTGGCCCATGGGCCTCTTGTTTTTCAATAAAATGTTTTCCCTTGCTTTGAATAGCGATGAAGAAATAGGTTCGTGTATGTGTGTCTGTCTTTTAGGATTTGTATACTAGGGCGTGTATGTGTATTTAGTGCAAGGAAAGATATTTAACACTGTACTTCCAACATTTAATTTAAATGGGAGTATGAGCTGATTGAAACCCGATTTGATTTTGCCAGCTAATTTATATTTCATTCTTTCATAAACTTATAACACCATTTTCAAATTACTGAGATGCAATTTTGAGAAATATATTATCTTTTTGAATTCGTAATTAAAATCTTCAATTTAATCAATTTTTGAAGAAAAAAAATATAAATTTCAATAGAATCTTTCAAAATAGTACTCATTTATATTATTATTCTAAAATCAACATTAAAAATAATATAAAGCATATAAGTTGGTAAATATTGTGTTTCTCTAGGGTATTAATCACCTCCAATATCAAATATATTTCCCCAGAAAATTTTAAAAACTGATGAGGTACAAATAAACAAACACATATACATGTATATACCTTAATATTGGAGTTGACCCCGTAATTCAAAGCAGAAGAACAAGAATATTCACAACTAATTTATGTACATTTATTTATATTTTAACAGGTTTTCCCTGCGTGCCGATCGTTTTTGTTTCTTTGAGTGGTACTGCAAGAATATAGACATTTCCCTACAAAGTAATTGAGCATTTAAATGAATTATAAGGCACAACAGTGTATTAACTTTCAATCAAATCCTGTTTTTTTAATTTACATTGTTACTTACATGCTTGGGATGGATTAATGATTAACAATATGCGGAAGTGTGCCTGCAAGCAATTTGAATATAGAAAAGTTTAGAACAAACGACAGCAATAACACGTAAATAACTGCTTAGAAAATATTGATCATTAAAACCTAGAATTTCAAATAAATGAATTACTATTAATCCTAAAAGCTAAAACAGTGATTAACATGTAATTAATTAGAATTTCATGGTAAAATGTGTTTCTGTTCTCATATGATACTGCTGTCCAAAAAACGTTCGTTCTTCGATAATGACCAATTGGAAAAATACTTGCACTGCCAATAGCTTTATGAAACATTGACTCTATGAAAATAAGACCTACTTTCAGTGCAGACGACTCCAATCAATGTCTGTAAGCGTTTTGCAAGGCCGGAAATGAAGACAATCTCATTTAGGTGCTCATTACATGTGGCACTCGATTTCACAGTATTCTCCACATTTTCCACGCACGACATAATCTGGCTTTTTTTGCTGTCAAAAATAAGATAGCAGTTTAAAAAAAAATAGGTAATACGTCTCCACTTATACAATTGAATTTAAGTCTGTCCAAATTGTTAGTAAGTTCTCATTTTTTCCTTTATAATCTAAATGATAATCGAGTTAAGATCGGGCCTTTCTATAACTCTCAGTCAGGAAATTGTAACCCCATGCATTGAGAATTTCCCCGAAGTGCCATTGAGCAGTGAGGGGTCTTTTTCGTGCCAGCACCTACTGCGACAGGGGACCTCGGTTAACACGGTCTCATCCGAAGGACCAGTCTTCACGTAACACAGTGGGATTCGAACTCGCAAAGTAAGGATGGATTCCTAACGCCGTGTCTGCTCTAACCACCTCGCCACGCGGGCGACCGAATGGCGTAAGAAGTAAAGATTTGTGCATTGATCATTGCTTTACTATTTTCATTCAGTAGTTACTAGTAGTGAATGCGATACAGTCTTGAGGTGCTTGTAATGGTACTATATTTAAAAAAAATCCGCTCATTTGTGTGTTAATTACCATAATTATTCTGGCAATTTTTGACTTGAATGTAATTTAGAATATAAACATCCCATTAAAATGCTAGAGCATCTAAAAACATTCATACACTAGATTGACAAATATTCAGGGTGTGTGTTTGTATGGTGGGGTTAATCTTATATATGTTAAACATTTTAAATAACTCGTGTGTTAAATACACGTTACAAAACATCAATCAAGAAAAAGTCTAGAATCTGACTGATAGTATTTGGACCATATTAAAGATTTTTTATTCGCATCTTAATAAAAGTCCATGTATTCCTCGATATTAAAGTCGGCAGCGCAGAAGTTGCATTTCTGCGTTTGCTTTAGTTTCGCGCAGAAAGGAGGTGATCCTTCCGTCGCGGGTTGGAATCACACCGCGGAAGGCGGAGACCGAGATTCTGTGTCGAAGAAGATTGTGGAATAAAGATCCTTCACCTGCTCAAAGACAATTAAGTACTGAATACGCCTTCCACCGGCAAATGGTTGCATCTTAATTATGTTCCCCAAACGGAGTTTGGGAACATATTGTTTTTACTCGGTTTCTTATTATTATTATTAAGGTCTTCCGTCTTCACGGAAGACCTTATAGTGATTCTACTGTTTCTTATTATTATTATTATTATTATTATTATTTTTCCGTACACCAAATTTTGTGCACGCGATTTCTCGAAGACTACTGGGTGAATTTTCATGAAATTTACAGAAATTATGTGTTACTATCTGAAGTTATTTTTTCCGAGAGATTTTTTGAAAATTCGTTTCTGGTGCCAAGTTACGGGACATTTTCTGAAAATAAAATGACATTTTGTCCACGATTAAACTCAAAAACGGTAAAAGATATCAACATGAAACTTTCAGGGATTATAGATCGTAATATTTACCATCCAGGACGCGACCTTTCGTTCGTCGTCAGTACTTCCTGTCGTTAGGAGAAGCGAAATGAAAAAATCGGATTTTCTAACTTTTTTGTTTTTAAATATTTTTTATTTATTTTTGGAATGATAATAGACACCCTTTGATTGATGTTTACTGTATAAGTTGTTTGAATATTGGTTAATCTGAACTCTAGATATTAATATTTGAAAATCTGAAGCGGGTCCAAGATGGCGTCTGCCTCTGTCAACTCCGCCATTTCGCGAGTAGGGGTTTGTGGAGGCAGCTGAGCGTTTGATTAAACCATTCTTACATAAGGATACATGAAATGTAGAAAACTACTTGGACTTTCACGTAGTAGTACGTTGTAATTACGTGTCAATCTTAAAACTTAATTTCCGTTTAACTGGGCTAGATACGATATGTAATATGTACAATGTGTTAAATATACCTTCTTAACGTCGAAATAAAATAAAGGCGATAAGAACGTTTTATTTATTCAATTTCATTGAAGCTATCACACCTATTTAATAGATCAGTCCAAAGAAAAGACGCGAATATTTACTCGTGGTGTTTGGCACGAAATTATCAATAGTGGCCCGCCTATTATAATTCTTAGACAGGTGTACTGTTGCAAATGTATACACAAGTATATTTAGAGCAGTAGCTTAATGGTTTGCGCGTTAATAGATCACGTAGTAATTACGTTACAATTCTGTGTCAAACTAAAGATTTATTCCAGGGTCTTCTCAAACGTCTTCTGTAACTGGTTTTGGTTGGTTCTCAAAGTAGAAAAAGAAAAGACTAAATGTGCAAATGACAGATACCTATTATCATTTGTTTTGCAAGACGGAAAAACAGATCTTAAATCATAGTTATAAGTTATAGTTTTTCAAGAAACAATATCGATGCATGTATATAGTAAGTATAAAACGTATAAACACTGTTTTTCCCATGCACACTTGTGTGATATTAAACGAATAGAAAAGACAAAAATAAGAAAACCATTTTAATAAGATCGTCTAATGGAGTTTATATTAACATTCTTTTCTCAAAGATCTGAATCAAGTTATTGAACATAAATGGTATCTGATTCCTTGACTGTCGTAGAGCGAGGCAGGCATGTTTTTTGGCGAAACATTTCAACCTTTTTATGAAAGTGTAACTAATCGGCATAGTTCACTTCTGAGACGGGAAATTAAAAAAAATTAAATTATAGTCATTTCACTGCTTTTGTGTTACTTTTCTACAGAATGTGTACAATGTGTTAAATATATTTTCTAAACCTCGAAATGTAGGCTATGAGAACGTTCTTTTTTTCTTAATTTCATTGAAGCTATCACACCTTTTTAATAGATCAGTCCAAAGAAAAGGCGCGAAGATTTGACGTGGCGTTTGGCGCGAAATTATGAATAAAGGCCCGTCTTTTATAATTTTTAGACAGGTGTACTGTAGCAAAAGTATACACAAGTACATTAAGAGCAGTAATCCCAATAGCGTAATGGTTAGCGCGTTGGGGATAAAAGGGGAAAAAAGCGAATTGGATTTTCACGCTGGCGACCTGGATTCAATTTGTGACCAAAATGTTTAATCAATTCTCAGCTCGACTTTACGAGTTTTTTTTCCAGAATCAGACGGAAGACCTCTCGTTGCTCGCAACGAGATCGTTTCTAGTTATTATTATTATTCTTTTTTTTCTTCTTTGTTCTCCGGTACTTTTTTTGTCCGCAAGTGTTCTCAGAAACTGTTCACCCAACTAAGTTAAAACCTTTTTAGGGTTTATAGGTGTCAAGTGTAGGTGTGCGGAACGAAGGTCATTTTGCGCGCATACGCCTGCACGTGCGTGCGCGTGAAATGAGTGAAATGACTGATATACTTATTATAGCCATAACTTTTACATTTTTTATTAAAATGCTTTGAATCTTATTCTATAAGTATATATTAATAGTCTAGATAATATGACATGGTCAAATTAGCACGAACTCACGTGCATGCACGTGCGCTTCGCTCTGATTGGCTAAAACAAAGATCTCAATAACTCTTTTGTTTGTTGATGAAATGCTTTGAAATTTTGAATATAGTCATGCATTAGGATATACTACAATATCATATATAGCAGGTATCATGAAAACACGCGCAT